TTCCATTAGTGATGTGTTTGGATGAGGGGATCGAGTTTATTCCTTGTGAATCTGTTTTTTCTGGCGCTGGTTCGATGTCTTCTTCATTTCATCGCCGGGATTTTGGTGCAGAGCGGATGTGGGCTCTATGTTCGTCGCCATGTTTGGTTTGGGTTTTATTTAAATTGATTGTGTGATTTTTGGCATGAGAACGAATGATCTATGGCTCCGCTTTGTTTTTTTTGCCGTGGGGAATAGCTACATGGTGACGAGATTTATGGTGATTTCATCCTGACTCTTAGGTTTTAGCCTGTAGTTGTGCGTCAGATCTGCTTCGCAAGGTACGTCTGCGCTTGCCCCCTCACTGCTCGCTGGTTGGATCCCCACGAGGCCACGACCATGATTTGAGTTCTAGCTAGGTCGATTGGCGTGATTAGCTAGCTGGTTTGTCCTTCGCCTTGGGCATTTAGGCACAGCAAGTGGGTGCTATTGTCAGGAAACGGCAGCAACGAAGATCCATTTCTGGACATCTGGGCGCATCAAAATTCAGAAGGAAGTTGCTGTGTACATGATCCATTTTTCTATCTTGAACTTTTGCCTTTTGTGGCGTGTCTTTTTTTTCTTCCTAGAAAAAAATTTAGGGGCCTGAGGAGGCAAGGCAACCATGTATGTACGTTCCAGTTGCTTTTCTAGCTAGATCTTTGCAACATACTCCTAGCAACCAAGATCCTACTACTCCTACACCGCTATGCAGATGGTGCAAAAGATAGAAAGGAAGCTAGCTAGCTGATCTGTTATTAGTTTCGAGGAGGAGCAAGACAAGGTAGGAAGCAATTTACCATCATGTTGAGCATGGGTGGTGGTGGTATGGCAGTGCCTCTCTGCAGGAAGAGATCTAGAGATATGAGTTTAGATAGTTCAGTTATCAGTTTTTGTCTCAGAGTTTTTTGTTTTTTAATTTTTTATTTTCATTTAGTTTTACTTTTCAGTTAATTTTCAGTTTCATTTTAGTATAGTTTCTGTTTCTGTTTATTATAGTTTCTTTTCTATTTCTCTGTGCTGTTGGCGAATTTCAGGAACAGCTCAGGGACAAGAAGAAGGCCTCATCTGCTATACCAACGTTAGGTCAGCTCCATGAGCTCTGTCATCTCCTTCATACCTGATTCTTTGTTTGTCTCCCCTGTTCTTGATCTTTAACTCTTGCTGTCCTCGTGTTCCCTCATTAGTGATATAGCAGCTTTTAGGAGTATTATAACTTCTTTTGCTGGCAAGATAGTACTGGGTTTATTGTTGAGTTCCGTTCAGTATTCAGTTTAGTCTAGAGACATTTTGTTTTTTGGCTCAGTTTTCAGTTTTGAGATCCGTTCATTATTCACTCTAGTACAGAGACATCTGTTTCGCAGTGCTAGCTCCATCTGGGCATTGAAAAAAATATGCAGAGCTTTCAGAACCAGTAGTACTAGTAGTGTCTCATTGATGAAACAAGCGCGATGGTTTTGTTGCTAGAAAGAGGCCTTTCCTTTTTCCGGCATAGAACATTTGTTAACTATCATGGTCTATCATATCATACTCGTAGCTTTACTGCTGAGACTAATCAAAATACCTGCTCATCATTGAGTGAGTTACACTTGTCCCCATACAGTAGTCGGATTTAGCATAGCATTTTCACTTTTCAATCACACGGACATACTGCCCATCAGCTATGTTTTCTTTGTGTCCTTAATTTTGGCACATGTATTTTATTCATAAGTTCTGTCATTTCATTTTGACACTTTTGTTAATCTGAAACAATTGTTGGTGTTTCAGTATGTCTATTTAGTGCTTTTAGTAGAATGTAGTAGTCTCAGTGTATGGCGTCATCACTGTCTGTTCATTTGTTGTTCTTGCTCTTTTAGGTAGTGAAGATTTGGTTGATTGTTTATGGGAGAAAGATAGATATATACATGTTCTGGTAGAAAGTTATTAGTCACAATTTGTCTGTTCTATGATTCTAGTTGTATATTTTTTTTTGATTTTTATTACTGTTGCTTTTGTAGGTCCGTTGTGGGCTTGCGGCTCAGCTATAGCTAGGCTTTCGGCCAGGCCAGAAGAAAAGAGAGCGACGCCTTGGCTGGTTCGTGTTCATTGAAGGCACTGCAAGTTTGGATGCATCTCTACCTTTGTTTTGGCTCTCTCCTTTTTCCTTTCTCCTTTCAGACAGAGAGTGTGCATGTTCATATTTGTTCGCATGTGGTGTGCATGGGTATCTTTGAGTGTACTGTATGTGTAGCCTAGCCAGGCAACTGCCAACCTCTCTCTCTCCGTTGTGTTGCTTGTGCCGTAGCTGCTTTGTTTATGCATGTTTTTCCTCCATTGATGGTTGATGCTACTCTGCTTAGCCTGCTGCAATACAACGGTTGGCAGAAGCCTAAAATCCGGTTGTTTTTTGCCTTTGGAACAACCGGTTACAGAAGGACAACAAAACAACCGTTTTTTTTTCTTTTGTGTTTTTTGGTTGTTTTTTTCCTTTGAAATAACCGGTTACTGAAAGACAACAGAACACCCGTTTGTTCAGTAGACAGACTCTATTAGAAACCTTGCAATTGATTTGTTACTCTGGTCATCAAGCAAAGCATAGCTTGCGGTGTACAACCCCTAATACCTTTCCATTCAATTCGGAATTCGATCCAGCTGCCGACTGCCGGCTCCCGGCATGGTATATACGCCAATGCGTAAAACTGAGAAATTCCAGAAGCCATGGAGTACATCGACTACTGATTCCACAAGCAATGAATTCTGAGTGAGATAGAACAAGTCTCTAAAGGAGTATTCCGGTTCCATCAATCTATGCTTCCTTGCCAAGTTTGGCACTCTCTTGATCCTTGGTGTGCATGTACCCACGAAGCATTATATCGTCGTCTCCCTTTTCCCTTTTTCTTTTTAGGTCCACCTACCTATATATTATTCATAAGGGCCGTACTTGTCACCTTGCCTGTGCCACCAATAATCACATTCTCAAGAGCAGTTAGCCGCCCAAGACTCAAGCACCACCACCGGCAAATTGAGGTGACTCCATCCTCCCTCCAGCAACTATATATACTTCAGCAAAACTACTACTTTTAATTTCACTTACATTTCTCTAATGTCTCTTGCTTTGCTTGCAACGTTTCTTCTTTCCTGATTGAATTGTAAGTCTATGGTCTGTTTGGTTCAACTATTAGAGGTGGAAAAGCTACTGTGAGAGCCGTTGTGGGCTGTGTGTTGTGAAAAAACTATAAACTACACTACTACAGAAAAGATTAACCGAGGCGGGAGAAAGTAATTAACCGAGGCGGGCATCACAACCGCCTTGGTGGAAAGGTCACGGTAAATGAATCTTTCCCAAGGCTGTCGAAACGCCCACCTCGGTTAATCAAATAAAAAACAAAAAAAAAGAAAAATCCATGGATAGGCCCAATGAGCCCATCCACGGGCCCGCCGAGCCCATACACGCACCGCCGCTGTAGCTCGTCGGAACTGGCCTCCCCGTGCCGTTGCCTTGCCCGCTCTCGGATCCGGCCTCCCCGCCACCAGATTCGGCCTCCCAGCAGCCGGATCTGGGCTCCTCGCCCACGCCGCAGGATCAGGGATCCGGGAGGGGCCTGAGAGAGAGAGAGGGAGGGGCGCCAAGCCGGAAGGGAGGAGGGGCGCTGTCGCTGTTGCCTGCTCGGTGGAGAGGCACCGTCGACGCCGCTGCTCGGTGGAGGGGCGTCGCCGCCGCTGCCTGCTCGGTGAGGGGTGCCGCAGCCGCTGCTGGTCGGTGGAGGGGCGCCGCCACCATCGCCGGAGGGAGAGGGAGCCCGCCGCCCGCGCGAAGCAGCGCCTCCACCACCGCATGCCGCCCGCAGGAGAGAGGGAGGGACCGCCGGGAGAGGGGGAGGGAGGGAGTGCCTGGCGGAGGGAGGGAGGGAGGGAGTGCCGAGTGCCGTGCGTGTTACGGAGTGACGGAGCGCCAGGAGGGAGCGGGTGCGGTTGGGAGGGAGGAAGTGGAGTGAGCAAGGAACCCTAAGTCTTGGTTATATATATGAGCCCAGTAGAATAATGATTATGGGCTTTGCCTAGGTTGGAAGCTGGGTCACTATTTATCGAGGCGGGCCTTATAATGTGACCACCTCGGTTAATGTATTAACCAAGGTGGTTGCGTTGGGAAAACCGCCTCGGTTAATAAATATTAACCGAGGCGGTCGCGTTAGGCTGCCAGCCTCGGTAAATTGATTTTGCGGGGCGGTTGACTGTGACCACCATGGTTAATAAAAAAATGACAGCCTCGGTTAATACCAAGCATTAACCGAGGCGGTTTAAAAGCTGCCTGCCTCCGAGCCCAATTTCAAAACGCCTCGTAAAATCTTTTGTGTAGTTGTGCTATTAGGTTAAAACAAGTATGAAACGTATCCCATCTATCTTTCTACCATAAAACAGCCATGAAACATCTTTCTATTGGCACCCATTTGAAAAAGCAGAATGCTGAAAGCCAAAAGCAGAGTCCATGGTGCTACAAAAATGCACTACACGAAAGCAGCTCCTTCTGGAAAAGCAGATTTTGGTTCCACTCGTTTGGTTTGTTAGGTTGATTGTGAACTATGTTTGGTCTGTGTGACACTAGTTTTGCAAGGATCATGTTGGTTTTCGGAAGCATTGGCTTACTAGGACCATATGTTGTAACTCTTCCTTCCTCTTAATGAAAAATGTACTTACTAAGATCGAGTCACATCTTAATCATTAATTATACTCCTTAAAATAAGCCTTGCATCCAGTTTGAATATGAGTTAGCTTAAGGTGATTTAGTGCATGCAGCCTTGCATCCTGATGCTATGGCACCCTACATGACACAGCTGATAGCAGACATGGAGAGAGAGGAGGTGGACATGTTGCTGGGTGTGTCCCACGACATTGAGAAGCTCAAAGATAACATGGAGAGCATCAAATGCATCCTTGCTGATGCTGAGAGGAGGCGCATAACTGAACAGATTGTGCAGAGATAGGTGAGGAAGCTCAAGGACGCCATGTATGATGTCACAAACATCCTTGACATATGTCAACTTGAAGCTGACAAGCACAAGGAATCTAAATGTGGTAGCATGGTAGAGACGGCTTCGGGATGCTTGCAACCATTGCTCCTCTGCCTGCGGAATCCTCTATTTACGCACAAGATAGGAAGCCGCATCAAGGAGCTGAACCAGCAGCTAGAAGACATCCACAAGGAGGTGGACAAGTACATGTTCAATATTGGCCTTGGTTCCAACCCAGAGCCAAGAAATCTAACTGCTGCTGAGTTATCCAGCTCTAGGACAAGTTCAAAGTTCGACAAGTCAGCCATAGTTGGAGAATAGATAGAGGGGGACAAAAGAGAACTTGTTTCAGGTGCTAACCACATATGATGATAACGATCATAGCATCAAAGTTGTGTCTATCGTTGGTGCAGGCGGCATGGGTAAGACCACCCTCGCCTAGAAGATCTTCAACGACGCAACCATCCAAGAGCACTTCAAAAAAAAGATATGGCTAAGCATCACCCAACAATTTGATGTTGTTGAGCCTAAGGATAATAATCGAAAATGCTGGGGGAGACCATGGTGGGAAGCACAACAAAAGCACTCTGACGGAGACCCTCATCAACAACCTATCAACTGGCAGGTTTCTGCTGGTGATGGATGATGTGTGGAGTCATGATGCATGGAACCATGTGCTTAGTGTCCCAGTCAGAAATGCCAGCAAGAAATTACCTGGAAGCCGGGTCCATGTCACTACAAGATCTGCACACTTACCTCAACAGATGCAAGCCCCCCTGCACCAACATCGTGTTAGGCCTCTAGAGAATGATGATGCTTGGTCATTGCTCAAGAAGCAGCTGCAGCCTAACCAGGTTAGTCATCTCTCCACACTTTATACAACTACTAGGATTTACGCACATATCCTTGTGGTTGTGTTGTTCGGGCTACCTTACTATATCATAGTAGATGCATGTTAGATTGGTGTCTGAGCCCCACTCTTGCTCATTGATCACCGCCTTATTGGGTGCTCTCTAGTAGTAAGGTATAGTGTAGATGTGGTGTTTATACTACACTTTCGCCTGTGATTGCTGCTTGTCGCATGGATTGTTTGGGGTAACTTGATTTAGTGGAAAGCGCATAGAGTTCCGTTAAATTTAAGCATTTGTGCTAGGAACACAAGCTTATGAGATTAGCAAAATGAGACCAGTAAAACTATGATCTAGAAGACATAATCAAATTTAATAACAAAGCGCTAGGATCAAGTTAGCTATTACTCACTGCATCCAGAAACTTAGTGCATGGCTAGCTCTGTATGAAGTCTAACTATTTGAAATTTGATCATATTTAATATCAACAAATTAAAAATTATCAACTTTTATGGCATCAATTTAATATCATTAGATTTTTTTATAAAGCAATATATTTGCAGTGTACCTATTTTAATTTATGAATGTTTGTAATTTTCACTATGTATAATTTAGTCAAAGCTAAAATACTTTCACTTAGAATAAAACCGCCGTCTTTGTTGGACATAGGGAGCACTAATAGTAAGATACTTCATTTTGTGTCCCACAATAATGCTCATAGGACATGTTGAAAAAGAGCTAAATCTTAGAACTTCTTATAAAACAACAGAAATACAAGGTCGACAATTTGGTAGGCTCTAAATAAAAATATTCGCCGGATCTAGTTAATATGTTTTGTAAAAACATAACCACTAGAAAAAAACAATTAGGAGACTAGCTCCCTATATGGTCTGAGGGTCTCTAGTGTCTCCAAAAATCATTTATAGAGGCGGGCCTTCTAAGGTGACGGCCTTGGAAAATCATCGGTTAACGGAGGCAGTCACCTTAGGTTGTCCGCCTCCGTAAACAATTTTTGGAGGCGGGCATCTAAGATGTCCATCTCTGAAAATCGTTATTAATAGAGGCGGCCATTCGTATGTCTCCAAAAATAGATTTATAGAGGCAGCCTCCTAAGATGCCTGCCTTTATAAATCGCTGCATCTAAAAATAATTTATAACTTTTCATACGAAATTGTATGAATATAAACTATATATAAAAAATTTAGGTCTTCACAAGATCTATAACTTTGTAGTTGAGAAATTTTTCATTTAAAACTATTTAGAGTCCCAAATAATGTTTTAAGTTTATGGATTTTGAAATTTAACATCTATTAAAACAACCGCAGATATTGACATAATCTATACCAAAGCTATAGTTCTAAGCACATCTATAATTTTGTAGATGATTTTTTGTGATCTAAAGTCGTTTAGAGTCCAAATATGTGTCCTAAGTTCATAGAATTTGCAATTCAAAATTTTGGATTCTGAAGGACCTAGAATGTTGACATAGTTACAACAAAGTTGTCAAGGACCTTGACATTCTAATATTGATTTAAAGGATCTACATATTTTCTGTTGTAAGGTTTTTATTTGATGTTATTTAATATCTCAAATATTTGTTTTAAATTCCCATACTTTGAGATTGAAATTTTAGAATTTTTCAAACAATCATGGACGGGGATACATCATATACCAAAGTTGTAGTACATGAGAAGGTTTAAAACTTTACACTTGAAACTTTTTTCATTCAAATTCATTTAATAGTTAAAATATTCAATACAATATTACAGAATATTTGTACATAAAGATATAATCATATATATATATATATATTGTGTAGTGGTAAGGTGACGTAAGTGTTGAGTTGTACACAACGGGTTTGAATCTTGGGAAGGAAATGTTTTGGTGTTTTTTTATGGGAACCATTAACAAAGGCTCGTCTCCATTAATTGATTTTTAGATGCGTCTGTTAATCGATTTTTAAAGACGGACAGTCCAACTGCCTCTGTAAATGACGATTTTTAGAGGCGTCCATTTTAATTTTCAGAGGACATTCCGACCTCTGTAAATGGCGATTAACAGTGACATTTGGTAAGAGGAAGACAACCTACCCGCCTCTATGAATCAAAAACACCTACCTCTTAAAATATTTTTGGTATTAATATTTTCGTATATAAAACAGTCTAGAGTAGCACCTTGAATCTACAACTCACCTCTATGGTTAAAAAAAAAACTAAGTATGCCAAAATGTTGATCTAGACTAGACGATACCTATACTATTATAAACAATAATCTAAGTAGCACTTAAATTTGCATCTAAATTACTTAATATTTTCATAACCTTCATTGTTTCACAAAAGAAGCTTGCTCAAATCCTATTTGCATGGAAAATAATGTAATGTATAAGCAACCTGATCGTTGTAAGAAATAACTAAGAAACATTAAATAAAATGTTGGCAGGTAGCCGTAATTGATCAACTGAAAACTATTGCGATGGAAATTATTGAAAATTGTGATGGCTTACTAGTTGCAATTAAAATGATTGGAGGTCTCTTGAGCACAAGATACCCAAGTGAGCATTAGTGGAAATCTGTTTTGAACAAGCCAGCATGGTCACTGACCGGACTGCCTCCAGAACTCGACGACCGACTATACTAGAGCTACGAGGACTTGTCTCCCCAGATAAAGCAATGCTTTCTGTACTGCTCACTATTTCCTAAAGGTGAAGAAATCATTAGAGATGTAGTAACTCAAATGTGGATTAGTGAAGGATTTATCCAAGCTTTGGATGGTAGTAGTACTATTTCACAAGAGTATGAGTTCGAGGAGATGGCAACTGAGTCCTACCGAGAGTTAATAAAGAGGAACCTTATACAACCTACAAAAGAATATTCTCTCACTGGATACGGGTGCACCATGCATGATGTGGTCCGCACTTTTGCTGAATATGTGGCAAGAGAAGAACCATTAGTGGTGATTGGCAGAGAACAGGCTGCTACCGGTGGTGTTGGTGGCGGTGGGATTCATGTCCGTCGCCTCTCTGTAGAACAAACCGTATCAGTAGTGGAATGGGGCATTCTGCAAAGGCGAGAATCACATAGGACATTAATTATAAATTCTAGAGTAAACTTTGATCTTCCTGGTTTTTTGCTAGGTAGTTTCTCTTGTCTGCGCGTACTGTACATATGGTCTGCTAACTCAGATACCTTGGTTCCCTCTCTATCAAAGCTGAAGCACTTAAGATACCTTCACCTAGAGGATACTGATATATCTAGACTACCAGATGACATCCACAAGATGAAGTTTCTACTTTACATTAATCTACTTGGCTGTAAGAAATTGGGCCACCTTCCTAGCAAAATCATTAAACTTGTGCATCTAAGATCTCTTGACACCAGTAGTTCAAATATCGGTGTAGTGCCCAAGGCTTTTGGTGGGTTAACAAATCTAAGGTTATTTTATGGGTTCCCAGTACAAATGGACATGGATGCTAGTGGTAGTAGCGGTTGCAGTTTGCAAGAGCTGGCACCTCCTTCTCAGCTTAGAATTGAAAGCTTACACTGTATGGCCTAGAGAAGGTTCATGACAACTGGATGGCTGGAAAGGCCTTGAAAAGCTCTGCCCTCCAACATGCATAGAGAATTTTACTTTGAGTGGGGGTATGTTGGACGCCAGCTACCGAACTGGATGTGTGTTCCAGCATCAGTAGAGTTTAAGAGCCTGAGATATTTATGGCTGCAGAACCTGCCTTGCTGGACCCATCTCCCTGATGGTCTGTGCTGCCTCCCAAGTTTAGAAATGCTTACCATCATAGATGCGCCAGCCATCAAGCGTATTGGGCCCCAATTCCAAGCGTCATCCTCCATGGCAGCTGGAGGTTCCACTGCTAGTACATCTGCACCGTTTCCTAAACTGAGACAGCTGTATTTGGATGGACTATGTGAGTGGGAGGAGTGGGATTGGAACGACTGTGAGGAGCATAGGGACATGGAAACTACCATAGCCATGCCTTGTCTTAGAGAACTATACCTGTACGAGCTCTCCAACCTGACACATGTGGAGAACTTCCCTTCAGTTGTGGATCTTGATGTGTTTGACTGCCCTGAGCTGAAGAGGATCAGCGGACTCCCCATGTTGCAGAAGATTAGGATCGTTCACTGCACAAAGCTGGAGGTTCTAGAAGGTGTACCAGCACTCGACAGCCTTGAACTGGAGGACCCCACCATGGACACGCTTCCGGAATACCTGCGAGATGTAAGCCCAAGGTATCTCGAGTTGATTTGCAACAAGAAGCTACATGCATCCTCCTTAACACCTGGTAGCTCTGAATGGAACAAGATCAGCCACATTAAAAAACACAACATTGTCTGCATCAGAGATTGAAATATGCAAGTTCAGATTAATATTGATCGAGGTGAAGACTGAGGACTGCGCAATACAAGCTGCATCGAAGGTAGCTCATGCATACAGGTAATAATTTGCATTATTTTCAATGGGCTCGTAGCTGTTGCTTGTACTCCAGTTCGTTACATGCATTACAAAGTAGTCTAACCTCCATGCATAAATCACTGATACGTTCAAATAGTTGTGTGAATAGCATGAGGAAAAGCTTTCATTCCACCACAGACACGCACAGCCAAGGTTTTCATTTTCCGAAATTAAGATTTATCGGAGGTCACAGATAAAGAGGATAAACATGATATATCGGAAATATCGGACCAAATTCAAATAAAATTTAATTTGAATTTAAGTAAATTTAAATAAATCTAAACAAAATTTATACGAAAAAGATAGATATTTTTTATCGGCACCTATGGATAAAGAGGATATATCGGAAATAGCAGGAGATTTCGGCCGATATTGGAAACCATGCGCACAGCCAGGCATCGTTCGATATGGCGATTAAACTGAGTGTTGATACAACCTGACGAGAGGACATCCACAATTGTCAACAATCAGTTGTTGTCCTAAAAAAATGTGTTTTTGAACACATTTTCCCTCTTGGAATGTCGCATATGTATGTTTATTGTCTCCTATATTTGTAAACTAATTTGGCTGAGTTGCACATAGTTTGATTTCTTCAAGATAATTCGGATGTAAATCTAAGATTCAGTATCTTAAGTGTTAGTTGCTAAGCAATATATGTTGAGGTGGCATGATCCTGGCTGGAGAATTGTTTTGGAGTTGTCAATACTTTCAATGCAGTATATGAATAAAATAGTAAAATTCAACAGCAACAAAAAAAAACAGGTTTCCACCAAGATGGACTCGCACTGAACCATTACCATTAGTCCATTACCAAAGCTGTTAAGGCTACAAGAAATGCATAGAAGATTACATCATAGCTCATGAACTTTACACCAGATAACAATGCTGATGACACCTTGCGAATGACAGGGTCAAACCATGAAACTTGACTACAATTAGGGAAAGGAACACAGGCAGTGCCCGGTGGTCAAATCCGGCATAAGCACAGAATTGTGTGCATGAATGAAAGAAGCAAAACTCTGACAAATAATTATCTCAATAGTCCATCATATTGATTCAGACAGTATATTTAACAAATCAGCACGCAATGGAGCAATAGAGTAACTGTAGAAGAAATAGATATGCGATCACATACTGTGAAGCATACAATCACGATGTTCAATGAACTAGTAGACGTAGATTTTTGGCTTCAGAAGAAAACACAGGAATTGCACCATCTTTGTAGAGAATGCATTCCCCTGCTGGACAATTGTGCTAATAAGCACACAGAAGCAGGAGTTTAACATTGTCATGGAGAAAAATGACAAAACAGACACAAGAAGGGCATTAACCTGGTTAGAATTCACTCAGTGAAATAGCAGGCAACACAAAACGACGAAGCCATTCAAAACCAGGGAAATCACACAGGAATGAATAAGAATGTAATAAGATGAAATAAGCATGCAGAGAAGTTACAATTAACTAGCCCATCATATCAATTTAGACAGGATATGTCCTAGACATCCGCATCAGATTTAGCTTAAAGCCATCAAAGACAGAGCTATAATAAGGGTAGCGCTACAATCCAAGAATTAACCACTAGCATAACAAAAGACATCCATGAATGAACCACTAGCATAACAAAAGATATAATGCAGGCTACCTGAAAACACCAACAATTGTTCTTCACACTTAGTCTACCTCCTCAGTCATTGGGCCAGCGCCACTACCTCTAGATGGTGCATCCTCGTCCAAGCCACAGGCCATGTCAACACCAGCACCCTGGTACATCTTGGCAATGATATGGTTGCAGATGCCCTCGAGCTCCTTCATCTTGTCCTCAAACTCGTCAGCCTCAGCAAGCTGGTTGCCATCAAGCCACTGGATGGTGCCATCAACTGCGTCCTCAATCTTCTTCTTGTCAGCTGCGTCGAGCTTGGAGGAGATCTTCTAATCCTTAATGGTGTTGCACATGTTGTAAGCATAGACGCATAGTTCTTCAGAGCGTTCCTGGACTCGACCTTCTTCTTGTGCTCAACTTCAGACTTGTACTTCTCAGCATCATGGACCATCTTTTCAATCTCCTTGCTCAGCCTGCCCTTGTCGTTTGTGATAGTGATCTTGTTCTTCTGGCCAATCGTCTTGTCCTCAGCAGAGACGTTCAAGATAGAATCGCATCAATGTCAAAACAAACTGTGATCTGAGAAACACCCCTGGCTGGGTGCGGGAGGGATGCCAGAGAGCTCAAACTTGCCGAGCAAGTTGTGGTCCCAGGTCCTGTCCTCTCACCCTCATCAACCTGGATAAGGACACCAGGTTGGTTGTCTGAATAGGTGGAGAATACCTGCTCCTTCTTGCTGGGGATGGTAGTGTACCTCGGGATCAGAAAGGTCATGACACCTCCAGCCGTGTCCAGACCAAGAGAAAGTGGAGTAACATTCAACAGCAGGAAGTCCAGAACCTTCTCATAGCCCTCACCACTCAAGATGGCAGCCTGGACAGCAGCATCATAGGCAACAGGATATAGCTCACCACCAAGGTGAGTGTCACCAGCTGTGGCCTTGACCTCAAAGATACCCTCCTCAATGGTGAGCAGAGAGACATGAAAAGTACCGCCTCCAAGGTCAAATATAAGAACATTCTTCTCACCAACGCTGGTAGCCTTCTTGTCAAGACCATATGCAATAGCAGCAGAGGTCAGCTCATTGATAAAATGCATAACATTTATATCAGCAATTACCCCCAGCATCTTTGGTGGCATCATGGCGTTCTTGAATCTTGATAGTGTCAACAATGTAAGCTTCAGCAATCTCCCTCATCTTGATGAGGAGTTGAGAACCATAGAGGACATATCTCTTCAGCAGCGAACTTCTTCTCCTCGCCCTTGTACTGAACAACAATCGTGGCCCCTAAATAACCTTGAAGAGCCAGAGCTTAAAGTCGCTCTGTACGTAGTCTGTACAGAAGCATCCGTAAATCTCCTGCCATTGAGATGCTTGGCATCTGTAGAAAGGATATTATGTGTCAGTAATTGCAGTATAATTTTTGTACACATAAATGATATGTTTCTAATCTAATAAAGAAAATCACCAATACAAATCAGTATAGGCTTCCTACAGGGAAGTAAAATCACATATAATGCTAATATCACTACTGGAGACGCGCTCTTTGCCTGGGGCACTCGGCAAAGGCCCTATTGCACTCGGCAAAGACTTCGCCGAGTGCCACACTCAGCAAAGAGCAAACGGCGAAGCCGCATCCGGCGAAGGGTTCTTGCCGAGTGCCAGGACGGCACTCGGCAAAGAAAATTGGCCGTCAGCCGTTGACGGCGTCTTTGCCGAGTGCCGGGTCAGGAAGGCACTCGGCAAAGCTTTTTCCTTTTTTTTGAATAATCCTTTGCCGAGTGCCTTCCTGACCCGGCACTCGGCAAAGAAATTTTTTTTTTGAAAAATCCTTTGCCGAGTGCCTTCCTGACCCGGCACTCGGCAAAGAAAAAAATATTTTTTTTTGAAAAATCCTTTGCCGAGTGCCTAGCGGAGACGGCACTCGGCAAAGAAAAAATATTTTTTTTGGAAAATTCTTTGCCGAGTGCCAGAGTCCTGGCACTCGGCAAAGCTGGGAAACACATGGTAGTGTACACAGCTTTGCCGAGTGCCAAGGTACTGGCACTCGGCAAAGAGACCTGGTAGCGCATTTTTTGGCAGCTTTGCCGAGTGCCAGGGCAAAAGGCACTCGGCAAAGTCTCTTTGCCGAGTGTTACATTCGGCAAAGTGACAAATTTTTTTTGTTTTTTTTTGTTTTTTGCTTTCGATCACTGCAAACACAACATATGGCATATATATCACATCCATCACATATATACCACATCCAGCACCTTATATGTCACAATCCATCACACATACCACATGAATCACATCCGTTCACCACATGTCACAGTAATTCCATCCATTATTCGACAGGATTCCACATCATTCAACAAGTAGTTCAAATCCATCACCACATATCACAATAACACCTGCATGACAACAACATTGTCTCGGACATAAATCCATTGCGAAGAGAACAAGACATGAAACTACAAGCGCTACTCACTGAAGCGGCCCTTGATGTGGCCATCCTGCTGACGATGGGGAAGGAAACATCTGGTTGTTCGGAGTGCCCTGAGCTGGGTTGTTCGAACCCGCCGACTGAGGCTGCACACAGGAGAAGAGATTGCATGAGACAAGATTAGTTGAATAGCGATTGTAGCAATTCCTTGCATGTGTGACATTACTCACTGGAGTAGCGGAGTGAGGAGGCTGAGGTGGACCCATTAACCCAGGAGGCATAGCAGCACCCGTCGTAGTTTGCATCTAGGCAATAATGTCCGCCAACCTTTTCTCCTGGGCAAGTTTGTCGGCCTCCCGCGCGGCCCGCTCGGCCGCCAACCCCAGGTCCAGCTCCTGGGCCCTCCTGTTTGCTTCTTCCACCTGGGCCTACAAATTGTTGCAAAGCTAATGTTACAATAATGCAAAGGAAATAGAGTTGTGTAAAGATCAATGTACGACGAGTAAAACATGAATAACCTGGAGTGTGTTGACCCGGTGCTATGAAATGCTCGGCCGTGAGCATATCGTCGGGAGTGAGGAGGCGGTCGTGCTCTGTGCTCGGATCTAGGAGAGAGTGGGAGTAGAGGCCATGTCGATCACGCTGTAGCCAATCTAGTAGCGGCCATGCTTCTTGCCTTGTCCAATCCTCATGACGGTGTTTGCATCAATGTTGTCGGTCCGTGGATCGTACTCCGGCCCATGGATCGACCTTGCCGCCGCCGTGTACTCCATGATTTTCTCGTAGGCGCTCGAGTTTGTGTACGCCTCGATCGGGTCGTCTGGGTTGAAGGAGACATCGGACGACGCCTTGCCCTTGTGTGCCATGGCAAATGCGGCGAAGTTGGAGCACTCTTGGCCTTGATGTGCCGCCAACTGCAAGAACGAAAATAAGATGATTAGAAATCTTTGCCGAGTTCAACGAAAGCAAGAAGAATAGAAACATGACCACGTACCCATGCTCGGGTGTATCCGGAGAGGTTGCAGTTGCCTTGATGGTGTGACACACCTGGCATGAACAAACGCCGCTGCCGGGCAGCCACGTGCTGAGCGTCCCACTCCGCGCTTAACCACCTGTCCACCATCTTCGCCCAAGCCACGGGGCACCCGTTGCACCACCAAGGAATCACCTACACATCATCAAGTAGTTGACATATTATAAAAACAAGTGATTCGTACTTAATCTCAAAAGGAACCAATTTTAATGTTCTTTAGCTACCTCAAGGAACTGGGGTTTGGTCAGCGTCAAGTCTTGTTCTCGGATGTCCTTCTTGGTGACCTTCTGTCCGAGCTTCGTCCCATAGTAATCTATGATGGCCTGGAGTCACGCCTCATGATGGACGTCAACGACGTGTTTCCTGCAAGCTCGCTTAGCCACTGCCTCTGTCGTGCCCTCGAATCTGTCGTCAAGTTTGAAGTACTCCTGCATATACAGACACGATGTATGCATTAGTTATTTCAAGTAGAGTCTAATGAGTGTGTTGTATTGAGCCATGTAGTGCGAGGAAGACTTACCCAGAACTCCCGAATGACGAGCGCAGCCATGGTGCCTGCTTCCACGTGGGGGGCGGACTCGTAGTGGGAAAACATGAAGGCGGGCTTGAGGTTCCCGACATTCATGACCATGCCAGGGAAGTGTCTCCTGCACAGGAGACCTAGGATGCCATTGACATGGCGGGAGGTAGTGTTCCCCAACACAATCTCCCACCCCCTGCAGAAGTGATTAAGAAAACATATTAGTCTCTATTTCGATGTCGAACATAGCATATGAAGTAAAAGTGATAACATGCAAAGGCACTTACCTTTGCCCCTCTAGGCGAATCACTAGGCGTAGACGAGTATGCGGTCGGTCAGGGAGGGTGGAGGGTCCTCGCAAGTAGACACCTGATGAACTAGAGGAAGCGGTAGCTCCCGTCCCGCCCCTGTCCTCGTCCTCGTCCTCGTCCGCCTCCTCCTGGACCGGTGTCTCCTCCTCCTCGCCCGCCTCCTGCTGCACCTGCTCCTCCTCCTCCTCCTACGGCTGCTGCTGGACCACGGGCGTGGTCCTCCTGTTCCTCCTGGTCGTGGACCTCGTGCTCCTCCGCCTCGTCAAAGACGTCCCCTGCTCCTCCTCACCCCCTCCGCTGGAGGCTCCTACACCGGAGGCTCCATGGTAGAACGAGCTCAGGTTCCTCTGCCGGCCGCCCGGCATTTTTGTTTAGTCGCCTGCAATTAAAAAGAAGAAAGAAGTAATTAGAAATAGATGCAAAATAAACAAAACAAAACAAAATTACAAAATTACAAAGTATTACATGTATGTTACAAATAATCTTCATGATCGGGATTAGCTGGATCGTAAGTCTCATCATCACTATCAACCATGTCGAAATAATGAACACTATCCGATGGAGGAATGTTGTCTTCATTGTCATTGCCTACACGTAATCGCTCAAGCATTTGTAAGTCCTTTGCATTTCACACTTCATCTCCATCGTCATCGTCATCAACCATTACATTATCTACATCCATTCCTATCTCGCCGGTTAAGTTTATCTCAAACCTCCCTTGTAGCCCATCTTCTTGATAGAATTCTCCATCATATGTGCTTGGGTTGAAGTTGTAATCTTCATTGTTTGGGACAGGTAGTCGGCCGTGTGGTGAGACCTTGTGCACAACAAACCAACCACTAAGATCCGGTCTAGTCTTGCAAGCATATGACGTATAATAAACCTATGTGGCCTATTGCGCCACAATGTACACATCGTCTCTTGGATAGACGGAATCCTGTCGAATTTCGACTAGACCAAGATGAGGGGTCTTCCTCGTTACTCCGGAATCAAACCAATGGCATCTGAATACGACAGGATAAAGATTTGTGCTACCACGGAATGAAAGTTCGTATATTTCTTCAATTCTTTCATAACAGTCTACACCATCAGTGCCGGGCGTAAAAACCCCGCTATTTGTGGATCTTCGATTGGGCCGCCTTCGCTTGTAGCTTCCTGTGTGAAATCGATATCCATTCACGTCGTAGGCATCCGATGACTTGACCCTTTGGTCACAGCCGTTGGCAACCTGTCTCAACTTGGCACTGATAGATGCATCGGTTTGGGCCTGCAAGCTCAAGAAGGATACATCGTTATATTAATCGGACGTACGAGCAACAACAAATCGGGGCTAAATTGGACGGTACCTTGGTTTTGAACCAGGAAATAAAATCGGGGCTCCCTTGTCCCGCACCCTTGGAAAGAAGGGTATCACATTCCGGCGGGGTTGGTTCCCTTGAATGGGGCCAGTATTCATGAATGAATTCCCTGTAACGACAAACAAGGGGGTTGGATGTAGAATAGTGCGGGATTATTGAAACAAGTCCGTTGAGAACTTACGCAATATATGGGTCCACCTCTTCAAGGTTGGTCAGCACATATAACATGATTTTGTGCCACTCCACATTTGTCAGGGGCTTATTGGTCGATGCACCTGCTCTTCCAAGTTGCCCTCGGAAAAGGCTGAGGCTCGAGGCATTTTCGTCAGCATTGTAACGAGGAGGTGGATTATGCACACTTGGAAGGTTGTCAGAATAATACAATGTTGTGAAGTTTGACACCTCCTCCATAGTGAATGCACTTGCAATGGAAGCCTCAATTTTTCCTTTGTTTTTACACTTTTTCCGAAGTGTCTTTAGGCATCTCTCGATTGG